AAAACTTCTTCATCGTTTACCTATTACACTGGGCTCCAGGTCAACGAATATCGCTCTGGGAACATGACGGCCAGTACCGGTTTCACTGAAGAACGTGTTAAAGGAGTCGTCTCCGCCACCGATCGTTTTGTCGTCAGGCATTTGGCCATCTGGCTGAATTCCGTGTTCGAGACAGTAGAGTTCCCAGCAAGCATTGCCCATCTGAACTCCTGCCTGTCCAATATGAACACTGATAACTTCCCTCTAAAACAGACGCGACTTAAACTAAATGAATTTCCTCAAACTTTCATCGGAAGACTGCCATAAAAAAACAAGAGATGACAATATTTCTTAAACCTGGCAGTGAGAAATAATATATAACAAATACTCACCATATCTGAAAGTTTATCACCGTCTCTTTCAACCAACGCCACACCATAAACCGCACAACCCTACTGCAGATTGCTCGAAATGGATGCCTCCTTTTTCCGCAGAAGTAATCAATATTCGAGAGGTTTTTAGGACGAATTAACTGTACCTGTCAATCTTTCAAAATCCTGTTGCGCATTTACTGTAGATTCACAGCTACTGTGCAGAGAAATAAATCTACTTACTCTTACACATGTCAGTCTTTCGTATTTTCGTTGTTGAAACCATCAAACTGAATAAAGCATGTCATTTTTAAAAAATTTATCCGGATAGTTTTTGAATCTAAGAATAATTTTAAATCAAGCAAAAATATTGTCTTTTATCTATAATCTCCACTGAATGCAGCTCGATAAGAAACTTTTTACCTGAGCGTTTCATTCACTCATGTAACCTGTGCTTACTTTGTTTGTTACACAGCAATCAACAGAGCTAAATTAAAACAAATGGCAAAGTTTGCAATTTGGATCTGCCAGTCATATTAAAAACGGAAAAAGTGGCTATCATTTTTGGTAAGGTAAGTATTCAAAATTAGCAGAAGTTCTCAAAATAAAGCCTAAGCACTAGAAATAAAAAAGTTATATGAATATTAGTAAATTTAAAATGACTACAGTTGTACGTGTTCTACAAAAGAAGTTTTAGCGGGATCCAGTTCCACATCCCTTTTTGAATGAAGAGTTCTGCCTTAGAGCAGGGGGCTGTTGCCTTTCTCAGATTTATATTTGAACGATTTTATTTTTAGTGCAAGGTAGAAAGAATGTGATGATTAGCGAGTACCTGGGGTTGAGAGTTCAAATAGCAAACATCTGTCTTCAATGTTGTTACGCTGATTTTGTAAGTTCCTTTCGTCCTGCCGATTTTGTCTTCTGTCCGCTCCACAGTGACTACTTCCAACGTGTTTCTTTCCCCGAAGTTGCGGATGGTACTGCTCACATCACATCTTATGCGCCTTGTGTAGCGCGTAAAAGTGTGACATCCGAAAGCCGTCGAATCTTGATCTGAGAAAGTTTATTCATTTCTCTATTCTATCTTGATCGCTGTTGTGCCTGTTGATGATCCAACTGGTACGCCAGAAGATTTACGGGGAGTTTTTTTCCTTGAATCCATTATATTTCGCATTATGTTGAGTCTTCTCCTAGGAGAACCAGGGTTTTCTTTGCATATTCCTTCAACTTTGTCCTTACAGTGCATTTGCACTTTTCTGTCGAGAAAAATAACCACTTTGAATCTTTTTCAGCAATATTATAGATTTCTTGAGGAAGTCTGTTCTGCCTAATTAGCGTGTCTGTTTATTTCTTTTCAGGATGTTGGCAATGCTTTAGGTCATTTCAAGCAATCCTACTTGGCGAAATCTACATCTTTCAATTATTCATTCCACTTTAGGGATTATGTAATCTATCGGTGACTTGTTTGAATAGGGTGAATTTTGGCCCAAGACTCACTTCTTCAATTCCCTTTCTTTGTGAGGATAGCGTCACCTAGATTTACTTTTAACGCTTACTTTGATGTGCTAAGCCCGTATTGCTATTGTGAATGTTGCAACGTCAGGAGTTTAATTTCTAAAGCTTCTATATTGCTTCATTCCGAGCTGTTGGCGACTGGAGATCAATATTCCAACTTTCGCATTTTTCGAGGAAAGTCTATCCATATTCTTCTTCAGGATATTGCTGGTAATCAGCATTAGGAGAAAAATGGATGACCACACTTTGTGCTTCCCAGCTGGAGAAAGGTTACTTTGAAGGTTTGAGGATGTAGAAACAGCTTCAGTCCAAAACACACGACTTTTCACGACATGATTGGGCTTCCAGAATTGGTGGTTCCAACACTCTTGTGCAGTCGTAGGAGAACCCTCCTATCCTCATTTGCATTGTGCTTCGTATCCTTGATAATCTATATACACACAAAGGGTGTCCAGCTTGTCTAATTATGTTATTAACAATAATATGTAACGTCTAGTTTTGGGTTAGAGTCTAATAGTAAGGATGTTGGGTCCAAGTTATCGCTGTGAGTCAAAGTATGTAGTGGTACTCTTCGGATATTTTTTTCGTTCGACAGTGGTATTTTCTGCAGAAGTCCGCTCATATAAGGTGATAATATAAACAGATATCTCCATTTTATTGTATGAGTACCTTATCAAAAGAAGAACGAAAAGCTAGATGAACACGCATGAAGAAACTGTAGCAATCAGTACTGAATTGCAACTTCTGCAAAGAAAATAAAAATATTTCGATAAGTGTTTACACTTTTGAGCTTCAGCTTCTTGCTAAAAACCTATCGCATTAGGCTGAAAAGTCTGCAATTAGATTATCACCAGTAAGAATTCTCCAAAACAACCATAAATCAGACACAAAATTAACGCTCGTTTTTCCAATTGGTAATAATTATTCTATGATTCATCCATCCTACAAATAACTTGTGATGTTAAGATGAAAATTGCTGCATATTATTTTCTGAATCAAGCGATGATCCCAATTTGCAAAATGCGAACTAAACTACTTAAACAATAAATTAGAGATATTATTTAATTACAATGATCTTTATGAACTATAATTTGAAACCAGTACCATGATTATCATAAAACCTTGCATTTAAAAAGCGTCTTCTGGTTCGAATAGCAATCAGTTTAATGAACAGAATATGTTAAATCTTATGTAAATGATCGCATATCACAGCTGTGTTTCACTGTATATTTTATTTTCAGGATGCTCGGCGCTTCGAACGATGAAGAATTAAACATCTATGCATATTTGCTTGCGGTGTCGTTCTTGAGGAGCCATTTCTGACGTGCTATAATGCTCGCACCAAGCAGTTCAGCATGTTAATTTCAGTCATGGTGTGCTATTTATCCTACATGTCGAAGAAGTAAATGAAATTTTTAATGCTGAAAGTTTTAGAAGCTACATGGAAATATAGAAGAAAAATTCAATGCCGCACAATTGCTTTCGCAGAAATCGAATTTCTTAGATCAATTATTTGATATCGAGTAGAGCTGAATGCCTTGCGTATTGTTTCATCAAACGATCAATGAGCTTTGTCGACGTTTTTTCGAGGTTGCGAGGGTGTTTTTCATAAATCGTGAATAGCATTAATCGACTTAAATGGCGGTGAATGTTCTAAAATTTTTTTCAATAGCACAATACAACTGTGCTCTGTGCTGTACAAACGACGGTTCAATAAAAGATGAGCCGCACGATTTTATTGATTTCTGACAGCAGCCCGTCGGATGAGTCATCAAGAAAAAAGCTCTTTTCTATGACTCAGAGCATCAGCATGTCATTGGTTGACAAATTCTTGCTGTTTGATTATCGTTTCGGAAATATCTTTTTATAGATTTTGTTCGAGCTGCTAAATTACCATCTTTCCTGATTACAAGTTTACAAAACCCTGAAAGATGCGCACTTTGTGTTCATTGTTCATTCGACCTTAAATATCGATAATCAGAGGATCGGAACAACTGAAAAATCATCATGAATCTGCTGTCCAAAACGCATCTAACACATTAGTTTGTTCAAAAGAGCGTGCATCTTGTGTCGGTTGCTCTGAAGTATTATAGTTTATGGCAGAGCATTAGTTTAGCAGAAGCTGGAATTTTGTTCTAGTTATTCAGTATTTCATTTATCATATATTCTCCAATGAAAAGAAACCTACCTTTCAACTCTACCATTGCAAACATATTCTAAACTTTTATATACGAATGAGCAAATGGGGTTGAAACATTTTCTGAGGAACCGGAAATCAGGTGATGACGTAGGTTAGAATTTTGATACAATTTGAGCCAAGCCATAAGTAAACTTTTCTATATACGTGCAGTAGATTAAAATATAGGTGAAATAACATTTACAGTTAAACAAATCTGTCATCCTAACAACAAGACGTGTAATTCCAGCGCCTAATGTTTCTTGCTCATATTCTACTCCTTTAAATTCGAGCAGAGAATTCTCGGCTGCGTAAGCGAGGACTGAAATCATTAATTTTCCAGAGTTTAGCAGAAAATTTGGTTGTAGCCTGCAGAACCTCAGACAAACAGTTTCGATAGCCGCTATCCTTTCGGATTGCAAAAGCAGCAGCGTCGAATAGAATGTGCAACATTAGCCATTTTGCGCTATGGTCAAGGCTTCGGCAGAAAAAGAAACTCGCGCGTGGAGCAGGGTTCGTCAAGTCACCTGGTTAAAGTCGTTTCTCGCTTCACACTGATACCTTACCAGTCGATGGAGCAAATGGTAGGCTTTTTAGCATTCCGTTCCGGCAGCATTCGCAAAACATGCCCAAAATATTGCACCTATTACTTCTCACCCTCGAGAAACAACGGCTGTACATCAAGCCTTACTAGAACATCTGATCTCCGGGTTCAGTGAAGACACGCGAGCCTTGGGATTCGTCTGAAGACTATTTGTACCCTTGCACCATAGATTGCGGTCCCTTAGTCATGACCTACAACCAATGGCTGTAAATGAACACAAAGATAAAAATCGACTTGAACACAGACTTTTGCTTCAGATTCAGCTCTGTCATAATCGTAATTGTTCGGGCTAGTTTCCGGAGATCACCGATTGCTATTTCGATTCGCCGGTTGAACCTGTTGATTTTTTCATCGACAGTAAACACATTCCCGAAAAATGAGACCTTCTCCACCTGTTTCACTTCTATCCTGTATATCTACAAGAAATTTATTTCGTCTTTTAAACGTGTAAATAGAGGCCGGCCATGTTTTTCTCGGCTAGGAACGTTCCAGAAACTCTGTTTCTAAGCATTCCAACAGAAACATGATCGTCTGCAAACAGTAAAATTCTATTCTTCTTAATATTTTCTACTCTGGTACATTCATTTCCATGGCTAAATTTGGCTATTTAATCTGTGTACAAGACAGCCAGGAGAGGGGATAGAAGGCAATATTTTGGGATTCAACCGCCAACGTTGAAAGGCCGCGAATTATGGACGCTTACGTTAAGACAGAGTCTGTCATAACCATATAGTTCCTGGATGGATAGTAACAACTGGCCACAAATTCGACCTTTCTGTAGGCAATCTGGTAACTTATTGCGTTGGATAATATTATTCAATAATTTAATTATGACTTTAATTTTTGTCAAGGTGAATCAAGTATATGAAACCCAGACAAACTGTACACATAGCCCTCTTAAGCTTGAGGAAGACTAACTTAGATTTAATTAAATTGCGGATTATTTTTCTGTTTCATAGCTGAGGGCGATAACCAATACAGAAGTTTGAAGTTTATTGCCTACGCGTTTCGCTACAAACGGAGCAAATTTATAATGCTTATAATACTTATAATTATCAGAATTGTATCTGATGATACTACAGTGTTTGGGATATGGCCAAAGATCTACAACTTCAACAACGGACCAGTAATCGAAAATGTTTTGCTGACCTTAACGTTATATAAAGGCTTTGCTAGTTTGATCTTTAACAAACAAACTTACCGATCAATATCGTACAATACTCCTCATCTCATTTGCTTTGAATTAAAGAACGATACAGCTTGTCTGTTCCTCTTGTGTTCAGCTTAGGCTGAGGGTGCATGTCGTAGAGAATACTTTCAAACGGCTGCTATTTCACAGGGCATCAGGTTATATTCAGAGTTTGAGAGAACATAAAATGATGACAAATTGTTTTCGGTTTTCACTAAGTTCGTTTGTAAGGTTTTCTCGAATAAAAATCTAGACATCTTTTACGTGCATTTGTTACCTGTCATTGTGAACAGCTTGATTTGTTTAATTGTTATTGTTTGGTTATTATTATTGTTCAGTAGTTATTAA